AGTTTGGGACTAGATAGCGTTTTGTGAATGTGGTAGAATATTATTATTATTATTTTCTATTTCAGTAAATACACATAATAGGCAGAACTTTACTCCTGAGACCCTACAAATAAGATAAGGATAGTTTAGTAGGGATTCTTTTATACATAGAGGTAGTTTTGGACTAAAAATATTTCCAAAAATCGGTGAGTAATCAAAAACATTCACATAATCCACCATGATGGTGTATAAAACGGTGCGAAGTCTGCGTTCCAAATTCAAAAATAAATTGTGCAGCGCACGCGCTCCGTCAGTCGTTTTAAAATCGACGCGCAACGAGATATGTTTAATTTTAATTTTCGAATCTACAGCCGTATCTATGGTAACATAGATACGTCCTATAAGTACACTAGCGCACGTCTCTGTATGTGTATGTCTATGAATATAATTATGTATGTGAATGTGTGCATGAATTAAAATAGACATGTGTGAACATGACAGCTACTTGACGTCATAATAATATGAAGAGCTAGTAAACTCATATCCAAGTTATGTTCCATTTTATTGAAACTTCTTTGTGACTTTAACATCCGCGACATGGCTTGTTTGTAAATTACCTTTTACGTAGGTACCTAGTAGGTAGTTATGTCGTACTCAGATGCATCTCTATCGCAGATGCATCTGTCCGCTTATTAATTTTGTAAAGATGTTTTTTCTCGCCATTTGAGATCCATTTAATCCATTTAATTTTACCGTTTAAACGTTAGGTGGACAAAAAAACAAAGTATAAAAACGTATCAAAACTTTTTCATCAGTTCAGACGTTAAAAATCTTTTATAATACTTAAAACAAAGTTATTTTTCAAGTCAAATTAAATTTAATTCACTTAAGTCACGTCTCTGAGACACGCGTAGATTGTAATCATTATTATTTGAGATTACATTTTTTTAACTTTAAAAGACAACGTTTTTATACCTTTTTCGTAATGTCTGCAAAGTTTTTAACAGTCCTATAATTATATTGTTGCAAAACTTGGCTGTACAACTGGATTCCTTTGCCTTTGAGATACAGAAACGAAAATTGTCTATGTTGATATTTAGCATTTTTTACTTAGATTATATAGTTAATAGATGAACCCATAGCTCGGTCAATTCACGTAACTTTATAAAGAAATACAAGATTTTATATACGCCTATACTTAAATTAGACAAGACCACTTCACTCGGTGTCTTTACATTGTCTTGTAGGAATGTGATAAGTTCCTGCGGCATGGCGCCTACATATAAAAGTTTGGAGAGTGAAACATTACCTAATTCAGACTAATACAGAAAGTTGTAACACAACTATTTTATACGATTATTAGTTGATTGCGCACAGTTCTAAAATACAAACTTCTTAATTTCTTAATTTTTGTTTAAGAAGATTTGACATTGATTTTATTGTAGTGTATTTTTGGCTGCGTTTGTTAGACAAATGTTGTCAGTATAAAAAATGTGGTGTTTTTTTTAAATGACCACACCATCCGCGTATCAACATTGTAATTATACTCGTATGTTTTAGTTTGAACGACTTTTTTACACAACGCCATCTAGTTTCAAACTAAACAGAGCTTGTACTATGAAAGCTAGATTGACTGATAGAAGATTTTTTTTGTAAATACATCATACATATTATATAGAATACACCCAAACTCCGAACAAATATTTGCAGATCATAGAAACATTGATCCGTCCGTTTCACAGCAGTCGCATACGATACCACTACAACACCGAGGCAGTCGAACAAGATTTTAAAGAGTTAGTGCAAATAAAATTATAAATTTCAATAAATACATTAATCATAAGTTATTCAATTCACCCATCACTTTAAATGAACCATAAATTACAAAACAAGTATATAAATCATAAAACCCATAACCATAATTTTCTCAAATTCTGATATCTCAAAAACGCGCGACTCAGGAACAAAACCCACTGTCGACTGTCTATTAAAGAATGTTTTATGCCTACGCATTCGAGTCAAAGGTGGTTTGAGGTACTTTTGTATGTAAATCCAATGCGTAGGCTTCAGTTGGTACCTAGGCCAGGTCTTTGTTGGAGACCTGGATTCCAGGTACCTAACTTTCAAATGTTTTTAGTTAGCTAATTAGGATTTGTAGCTGTGATAATGCTACTGACATGTACCTATATTTTGTTCACGACAAATTAGGTTACAATAACGGTTTCAGCTAATAGAGAGGTAATATAACGTTAAAAATAACGTTTTTTATAGTAATCAGTAATAAATCTTTTAATTCCTTATTGATTTTGTATCAAAGCTGTTTGTGTGTGTGTGTGTATGTGTGTTTTTGCAAATCGTTTGAAAATAACGGCCAAAATCGTTACATGAACTATGTATAAACAGTAAAAGGAGTGTTTAGATTTCAATCTAAAAATAATATTTACTTTGTGTATATTATGTATTACATTGTGGTTTTTTCAAAGTTGCAATTATAAATGTAAGTTAAAATTATAAATCCGTTCACGATCTAAAAGATATCATCCTTTTAACCATCGTACATCGGCCAAACTGTGCTAAGGCAAGCGCCTTTCCCTTCGTATTCATAGTGAAATAGCAAAAATAGCTATACTGTTCACCACCAATATACTTAGAGCTGTAACTCTTCGCCTCTCCTCCTGAACTTGTAGCGCAAACAGAAAATATTAGTCTCGGCGGGGGTCTGGTAAGATTGGACGTTTCGCGCGTAGGTTGTGCAAGTTCTATATGTTGAAAAATGGCGGCTCTGCCACAATAGTATAGGGAACGGCGAACCCGGAAGACATATTGACCATAGACAAGATTAATCTATGCTACTTTAGTTTTTTTTATTTATTATACAATTTGTATCATTACTGCTGTGAGAGTTTTAAAATGTATTTAATGGATGTCTTAATATGTAGAATTTGAAACAAAAGTTATGAAAGTTATAGAAAATCTATTTGTCAATAAAGTTTTTATCAACATTATTAAATAAAACATTTTTTTTTTAAATTTCAACCGTCATACCTTTAGTTACAAAATATACCTAATCATTAAATAAATATTCTTAAGCTAAAACAGCTCTCACCAATTTCTAAAAGTATAAAACCTTTTTAATTATAAAGCGTTAGCGTCATTAGTCAATACAGTCTTCATGTCAAAGCCAATCTATTTAAAAAGTGCCAATAAAATTAATCGGCTGCCATTAAACAAATGGAGGACTATAAAATAACCTTATATTGTTCGTAGCTCATCGTCTTTACACATAATTGTTTAAAATAATATTACAATGTTCCTTAAAACTAGCAATTAACAAAATACCTATTCCAAATTTGACATTAAAACTGTTTTACTTTAAATTTAGAATCGTTTAGATTCTATTGTCTATGAATTCTAACAATAATAATATATATTTGTTTAGTTTTAGAATCCTACTTTTTAAATATTTCTATAATTACATCTTTTATATTTAGAATGTCAAACGTTTTGCTTTATTCTGTCTAGTAATGGTAAAACTTAAATTACTTTTTGACTTTAATTTTCTTAATTCGAATTTGTGAATCTGGATCATATCCAATATTACTGCTCTAGATCATATTATCAAAGAACATTCAAACATAACCTAGACACTCCTTAGAATTAAGAACGTATTTGTACCTAATTACCTACCTAACTGTTAACCGTGACGGGTCATAATCGAAGATTATCAGACGTATGTAATAATTTCCGATAGCTAATATCTCGTTTGAGCAATTCCATTCACTTTTGAATGCGGAATATTAATTTTAAATTTAGAATAGTGTAACGTTTTCATGTGCTGTTTTAACATTCTAAATTTAAAACTTAAATACTGCATTTAAAAAAAACTCATTGATGTATTATTATGCAGGTAGTATGTAGAATGAAAAAAAATAATGAGAAAATAAAATTTTATCTCTAGAAGTTTTATCTCTAGAACAGCAAATCCTAGGTATAATTTACTAAACACTCAAAAGGGCACTCAATATAATTTAAATCTAAAGTAATAGAATACCACACATAATTACAAGGACAACACAATCGCCAGTAAAATTCGCCATAAAATGGACATGCCGATATTTAAACCACTTTTATCAGCAAACTAATAAACCACGCGTACTTATAAAATTTACTGCCAATAAATATGGCGATCGGACCGTTACCTCACATAGATACACATACCTACATATCTAGTCGCATCTAGGAAATAATTCTACAATAATCTTAGTACCTTGTGCGTATAATATGCACGCATTCTTCCCAGACATGCAAAATTCACCAACACAAACAAAGGCAGGGCTACGAAGATACGCGTCTGTGTGTACCATCTACGGCTGTGTGTGTGCGTTCAACGACCTATGCATTTGCTTGCAGTACAGGCTAAAAGTATGCGTTCGTTTTATTATGGTCTTATTTTAAAAATGGAACGCCACGTTCGGTTTCTTTCGCGTTGGGTTAGGTCGTGGTCGTGATTTTTCGGCTGCAAAACTCGAGGTGTTTCCAATTTCAAACTTGTTTTGAGGTTCCGTTGTGTAAGATTACCGTTAGTGTTCGATTTTCGAACGTCCAATGTTCTAATTTAGATTGTAAATCTAGATAATGTATAGATCATGGTGTATAGATCTTAAAAAGTATCATGTTTAATTTTATAAACACGTCCTAATACTGAGTCGAAAAAATAATTTAGAGTTACTTGAATCTTACATTAACAAATCATCTATTCTCGTACTGAAAAGATACTATAAACATAGCACAGATTAACTTTTTAAGCGTCAGTGTACTATAAGTCCTAAACTTTAGACAATACCAGATTTGAAGATACAGAGAGTAGTAGCATAATCCTGGAGACCCTTAGAGATGGGGAATAAGGACCCATTTAGAACAACTGATGATCACTGCTTGCCATGAGACGGGTCATTTACTTGCAGCCTTAGAATTAAAAAGGAAAAATATATTATAAAATATGTTGTTTTGTGTTGTCACAGGTGAACGTCCATACAAGTGCCATCTACCGGACTGTGGGAGAGCCTTCATCCAGCTTTCCAACCTCCAACAACACCTCCGGAACCACGATGCTCAAGTTGAGAGGGCTAAAAACAGACCATTCCACTGTAATATATGTGGGAAGGGCTTCGCAACTGAGAGCAGCCTTAGAACGCATACAGCAAAGGTTGGTATCTAAACTGTGACATATCGATCCCTTGCAATCCATTTTTAAATAGTTCCAGAATCGGTTTTTGATATATCGTACACCAGTAATGACCGGTATTCAGTTTTTTTCTTGATATTTAAAATTGATTAATACGACTTTGATTTTCGAATTTAACTGCAACTTTTTTGTAATTAAATTTAAAATTATAATAATAATATTCAAATATCTTTTATCGTTAAATTAATTAAAAGTTTGTAAAACATATTTTAAAAATAATATGATTTTAAGTCTTGTCTTCTATAAGACGTGACGCGTCCTATGGCTCTTCTGGTGTTATTATTTAGGGTTAGATGCAAAACCCTAAAAGTGTTTAAATTCTTCTTCATTTTTATTTGTTTCATTTTATTAAAAATATATTTTTACTAAGTTTTATTAAAATTCATCATTTTAAACTTTTTTATATTTAGCCTGTTAATATAAGTTCCAAAATTGTCTATAACCCAATTGGAATGTTACATTTATTTGCTAAAACAAAATTGACTTTTGGCTGATATTATTTTCAAAATTCTCTCTCGACTGTTTGTTTATTTTATTATATGTGTTATTTTGAATGTGTCCTAATCTTTCAACTGCTATGCCCGCATCGCCACCGCCCGGTGGAACAGGAGCTTCAGCTGCACCTTGGTGTTTTGCAGCAACACGCGGCCCTAATGATAGGTGGCGCCACCGCCACCCCCTGCCCAATATGTCACAAAGTTGTGTTCGGTGGGGAAGCCCTTGTAGAACACATGAAGAATACTCATAAGGATCCAAACGCATCTGGTGTTGCGAGTAAGTTTCCCGAGGACCATCGGATTTTTCACTTTCTTCGTCAGGATCGGTCGATTTGAAAAAAGAACTTCCTGCGCGCTCCGTTCAAATATAGAATGTCGTTAGCGAAGTACTTTTTTGAAATAACTTTTCGAAAATAGAATGTCGATATAAGGCATTCTATTACAATTTGAAATGGAAGGTCATTGACATTCTGTTTTCAAATTTTGTTGGGTTTAGTTTTTAATTTAAAATTAAGTCGTCTCTTCTATTTCTAACGTATTTTCATAAAATTATAATTATTAATTGATTCAAAGATATAGCTGAAGTAATTGAGATTAAATTCATAATTACTTAACGTTTTAATAGAGGAGACTTAGTACAGTAAGTTCTGTCACTGGAAGTTTGTAGACTGAACAATTGGCTAAGTGATCACCTGAACTCGCGTAACATACAATTTGACAATATAAAAGCTTCCAGTTGGCACAAAGCCACAAGGGGTGTTGGTTTCAATATCAACGGTAAAACAAAAACGTATCGTTTCCATAAATCTTAACGCTAACTTAATAAATAAGGAGCGAATGCGGTCCGGGGACTAAATGTTATTGTTTTAATATCATTCTGAGGGTAGTCTGTTTTGCAAACATTTCTTGGTGGAACTACGAATTCTTCGGATGGCGTTCCTCCTGTATTATGATAACATGTTTTGTTTATGTATCTAATGGCAACATTTTCCCGTTTTCTATTGTCGTTTCGTTGGCATCCACTGCTGCGTTAATTGATATCTGTTTTGATTTACAATTCACTTTCATTATTGATTTGAAACGTATTTGTTGTCATTATATGTTGATACACAATATTATTTAAGTTATCCGTCGTATTTTATTGGGGTTATAATAATCTCTGTCAATATTTAGTAATTTTACAAACAAAAATCACAAATACTCAAACTGTTTAAAATAGCCCAAAAAAATACGACAGTTTAAAAAAAAACTGTACTAACAAAATAACTAACCTGTTTTTTTTTTCTTTTTCCTTCCTCTAACCCACTAACCTATCCACTCCTGGTGACCAGGCCCTCCGGCTACGTCACCGTACCCAGCGCAAGCTAAACCTGTTGATCCTTATATAGCGAAGCGACGGACGGCGAACCATCCCTGCCCGGTGTGCGGCAAGCACTACGTCAACGAGGGGTCCTTGAGGAAGCACCTTGCCTGCCACCCAGAGACTCAGCTCACCAGTGGACTCCGAATGTGGCCGTGCTCTGTTTGTCAGGCTGTCTTCACGCACGAAAGTGGTAAGTACTTCTAGAAGTATCTATTTAATTTAGTTTTGTATAATTATATTATGTTGTATAATTATAATACTATTGTATAATTATTTACCCGCTGCGAACTCGGTCATAAATCATTGAAGTGGGATAACAATATTATTCTCTGTTTCTTACTTATTACTGGCTTCTGGGCGGAATGAGATTTCGATGTAGACAAGGTTCCTTTTTGTTGTAATACTCGTAGTAAAAACATGAGTGTAAGGAAAAAAACACATTAGCTAAATCATGTCAATAATAAAAACTTAAATTGAACAATTTTACACCAGATTCATCATATTCTTTGATTTCTTATTTACTTACAAAGACCGTGCGCCTGCGCATGCCGGTAACCGACCAGCGACTTTGATGCTCCGGTAATTTATCCGGTATATCTCATTATTTCTGTACAAGTGATTTCTGTATACAATATTATAAAATGGATAAGGAATTCATAGAGGGACTGGGTGGATGTGGTAAGCAAACAATGTCTTTAGACAAGTTTGGTCTGGTCCAATTGTTTGGTCAAAATGTCTAAAAAAGGTCCAATTCGCGGTAGTAACAAATGATTAAATAGAACTGAGAAAATGAGAGGGTAGAGATAAAATGAGATTTTCATCGGGTTTACAAAGTTTGACTGGATGATATATGTTTCATGTAAGGACTATTATTGGGATTATTTAAACTAGTGTTCAGGATAGTGAGATCTTATGATTGAAGTATAATGTTTCGGATTCTATCTGGTTCACTTCTATCAGAATGTGCAGGGATAAAATACCTTATGATTTTTGTTGCCACTATGACAGGACTACCCTATAGTTCATAACCTCCCTTCCTAAAATCAAATAAAACAGGATGATTTTTGTAGTTGGTCACCCATCTATATCAAAAAACTTATTTCCATCATCCATTAATCTCCTGGAATTAACCTAATTATTAGCTTGAATTCTAATTTAATTTAATAAATTCCAGGACTCCTCTCCCATATGGAACACATGAGAATGGAACCAAAACATCAGTTTGCTGCCCAATACGTACTATCTAGAGCAGCAGCTGAAAGACGAGAGCGAGACATCATCGCCGCTGTCTCAGCCTCCGCTGGCGGTTCTGGTCTCCTTAACCTCGCACCTCCGTCACCAGCGCACTCGGATTCCTCATCTAACGGCCGTCTTTCGTCATCCGCTGGCTCCGAAGCCGGTGCAGCGGTCAACAAACTGACAGATTTACTGAGGTCAGCCAATAATGGACACCAGGCTTACGGAGATGAGAGAGTCGCAGCGATAGCGGCCGCTGCGGCGAACATGATGGCCCAACCTGGAGAAGGAGCTAATGCTGTTCAAGTAGCCGCCGCAAATCTAGTATCAGCAATGAGACAGCAACTAGCACGAGAGCCCCCTCCAGCACAGCCCCCAGCTGAAACTCCACCAGCGCCCTCCGAAGCTGCACTCCGAATTCAACAGGCCGAAGCCTTACTTCGAAGTCAGGCGGAAGCTCTGCGATTAGCTGTTTCTCAAGCTGCCGCAGCCCATGGAAACGAGGCCCCTAGCCCTCTAAGACACAATGGAGGTTTTCCACCGCAGCCACCGAACGATGGTAGCGGACAGATTTCACCAGAATTGGTCGAAGCGTTCAGAATCGCTCAAGAACAGAGGCTAGAACAGGCTTTGAGATTGCACGACCCCAGGATGCTTGGTTTTAATCTATCATCACCAGTACAACAGGCAGCGCAGCAAGCGGCACAGCAGGCAGCACAGCAGGCCGTAGCGGCTCAACAGGCCGCCGCTCAGCAAGCGGCTCAACAAGCGGCACAGCAGGTCGCTCAGCAAGCAGCGCAAGCCGCTCAGCATGCTGCACAGCAGGCCGCGCAACAGGCCGTCCAACAACAGCACATGCAGCAGGCCGCACAGGCTGCTCAGGCTGCGCAGGCTGCTCAGCAAGCGGCTCAGCAAGCAGTCCATCTTCAGCAGAACCCTCAGCCATGAAAATTTAGCTATTACTAATCCGATGCGATTTCAACGTAATAGTTGTAATTTAGCTTCGTAATTGTAGTAAAAAATAATGAGAAGGTGACTTTTGTATTTTTTGGATGAAAAAAAAATATATTTCGGCCGGACCGTGAAGGAAATCGCCTCCGATTGGTAATTCCTTTAAATGTTGATTTATCAATTGATTTCGTTCGCAAAAAGTATTTTTCGTTTCATTTTTGATGGCGAAAAAGTATACAATGATAAAAAATTAATTAAATTAGATAGAACTAACTGTTGTATATAGGGAAACTTTTAGTGGAAACAAATTTTACTGTAAATATATGAAAAAATGTCCTAAAATAGTCGAATGAATGAACAAAAATGGAACAAAAACTCGCCCGATTAAGTAATTAGATGTAGAAAAATGACAAATAATATTACAGTGCAATGTTCAATTTTATTTGTTCGGTTATTATTGAGTGTTTTATTATTAAAAAAATATATATTTATTTTAATTAGCTTTACCACAGAGCAGTGAATTTCTTAGCTTAGTACAAACTTTTGGATGTGCCAAACTGATTTAAGCACGTTTTTATCGCATTTAGCGACGGTTTATTGCAATATATTAGTTGCATTATGTTTCCATAGGATATATTATTATTATTATTCAATTATTAATTATTATTTTTATTAATCTTTTCACGCAATAACACGTCTTATGCTAGTCACGTTTTGAACGCACAAAATATTTCTATTTAACAAAAAAATAAATATTTTAACATTTTTTATTTCGAAATTTATTTAATTTTTTCTTGGCGTACTTTATTTTCAAATGCCATATTAGATAATAAATATGTAAATACCGTAGCGATTTACGTAAATGTTGATGCTTTTGTTTCATGACTTAAAAAAACATTTTATTTTCACACGATTTCGATAATTTAACGAAAAATATTAATTATTTACAAAATTATTTGTATAGTTGTATATATATTGAAAATGAAATTATTGATTATTTTTTCAGAAGACTGCAATTACTTATCTTTTCATGTGTAAATAAACAACAGATTGTAACGATAATTAAAAATAGCGATTTTTCACTGAACACACAGTCAACATGACGATTAATTATAAATTGGAGAACGTCGATAAATATACTAAATCTAACATCAGGTCTTCGACGATAATACCTTGAATAGACAAACAGAAACACAAGACATTCTTTTCACCATGGATGTTCATACAGCCCAAATACTTACATTTATATTTTATTTTCAAACTAACATAACTTAACAGCAATAGCCCAGAAATATTTTCAAAATGATTAATTAATTGAAAACTTTATTCAATTATAAAATCATTAAACACAACAACGCAAACAGTTGCCGCAATAGATTTATAGTTCACGATTGCAACATATCTCTTAGTTATTTAATAAACATTGAGGGATATGTTGCAATTAAAAATTAAGAGAATGTCAAGTGTTGCCGAATATTAATTCTTTTTAATATTATCAACATGTATTATGATAAGTGGCAATTTATGTGAACAGAATAAATTATTTTATTTATTTTGTTCACATGAACTGTATAATACGTATAATCGTAACATAGGTAAGGTAAAAATAAGCTGAATTTAATGTACGTAATAATTTCATTCTTGAATTAATATTGATGTATTCGCGGCGTAGTTGGTACTTCACCAGGAGTACAATGACGTCACGGTACATCAATGTACATAGAATACAAAATCAATGCAATAGCCCAAAAAATCATTTTTTATTTCCGTGTCGTGATCTTTGTTTGTGGATGAAAGATTTATAATTGAAAATAATTTTTGTATTTATTTTTGTTAATCAAACAAAACTTTTCGGCGAATGTTTATATATTGTTTTGGAACGGACAGGCAAGTAACATCGAGACGCGAAAGTTACCCGATACCGTATATGTTTTCTAGGAAACGTGAGCAAAAATTCATACATTGGACTAGGAAAAATATTTGACTGATAATGAACCAAAAAAAAATATGATAATCGCAATAAAATTCAAAGTGAACGGATCGCTATTTATGTAAAAATGTCCTCATAAATTTAATATATAAATAAATTAATATAACAACAAAAGAAGTTCCTATGAATATTGTATAAATGGTATTGTTTTAAATTTAGGTCTTAGTAGAAGGAAAAATTTATGAACGTTTGGTATTTTTAAACTTATAATTAATGAACCATCTTGTTAGGGAACCGAACTCGGAACTGGCGAGTTGTACAAAAAGTAAATAAAAAAAGCACGGATCGTGAATCCTAACATTAGATTTTTAGATCAAAAGTTACGTTTCCAAGAAAGTGTTCATCACGAATCGTAGTTCATATTTCTGCGAGGCGCCCTGATATTGTATAGAAAAAAAAAACACATTTACAAGTTGTATTTTCGAAATGATAAAATTTAAGTATAAATATACTTATTTGACTATGATACAAAAAATAAATTAAAATAAAAAAATAGTCATTAGGGATGTGCGTCTCGCAAAAATATGATCGCAACGTATTTTCTGTGATCATCGAAAATGGAATAGTTATAACAGATCGTGTCTGCGTATTGTCAGAGGTTACTCTTAAGTTTTCGAACGAGAAATTTTTAATGTTCAAAGGAAAATGGAATAACTGTTTTTCTATGTTTATTTTATGACGAAAAAATTCCGTAGTTAAGCTGTGTACATTTAATATAAAGCCTAATGATTGATGTAGGCGATATATATCGCCTACGCGATGTCAAAATATATTACAGTAGTGAGAGACTGTAGAATATTTTGACTCGTTTTAGTATCAATAGTACTGGATTCAGTTGATGTCATTTCATGTGGAGATTAGTCTACGTACATCTCAATTTTAAACACGCTGTCAGTTAGAACATGGATACGACGTTGTGTAATGTTGTAGTTTTATTGGCTATTATTAATAATTAAACAGTTACATTATTGTGTTATTTGATTGTTTCGTTACTAGATGAATTCGTTGACGAACATTTTTTATTGCTGTTTTTTTATTGTTCGATGGAAAGTTAATGGGTTTTTGGATTGAATTGTTTCTTTCGAACAATAAAAAGAACTATAATTGTACTTACTGTTCAAGACTTACGACATCGAAATCGCAAACTCCAATCTAGCGATTACATTACATTTTTTATTTGAAATTTATAAAAAAAATATTGTCAACTGCTCTGTGGAAATGAGACAAAAAGTTTTTATATGATTCGAGTATTTAAAATTGTTGACTTTGCAGTTGACAATATTTTAATTTGTTAAGTTTTTAAACAATGAATTGCTGTTGTTTTCGAATTAAAACATCCTTATTGACTGTTAAAGTTTAATTTTGATGCTTGTTCACTTACGTGGTTTATAACTTACCTTGTGTTAAGAAATATTTAGCTAAATATACAATATTAATCATTAATACTTAGGTGTAGTCAAGATAGCCAGGTTTTCAATTTAACTCACATTGTAGTCATATATCTTAGTATATCGTAAGTTAGTATAATTAATGTAATGTAATACTAATAACCATTTATAAATTAGATTTAATCATATTTGTTTATAAATGGTAAAATAAATAACATAAATTAACCGCGTGAAAATGGTCGGTTTATGTTATACGGTAGTAAACAACGAATAAAAAATCAAATAAATACAAAAAAACGTATCCGTGTACTTAACCGTACTTAAATGTCATAGATAATGGAATTAATTATTGGTGTTTTATGGGAATTATCACATCCCGATTTTACGTCGTATCCATTACACAAAAAAAAAACAATAAAACAGATTTGTCATCGAAAGCCGTATTGTTGAAATTTAAATGAAAAAAAGTCTGATTATATTTTTGAAAGTTGTGTTCGAAATTGAAAATGAAACATTAATTAATATTAAATCAAAATTGGTATTTGAGTAATTTTGGCAGATAATTTTAAGTGCTGACAGCGTGTTAGTATTTGTCTACTTTATCATAATGCCTAGCCTCTGTAATGTCACATAGGGCATTTGCGTTGTTACAATGTGTTTTGTTGAGTCGTTAAAATTATCGCAAAAATCTATCCAATTGGTGTAAATCTAGTCTTACCTACTATTTTTTATCTTATTAACAAATGTCGTGATCAGAAGTATGTTATACATTCTTTGGAAATGAAACCATACGGATTTGTATTATATGAAATGTGGAAACTTGTAAAAAAATCAAATTATTGTACCTACTTTTGGCGTAATAAATTGTAAAATTCAAATGTTTAGACGTTAGAATAAAAATTACGGTTAGGTAGAAGTCAAAATTCGTGTTTGGCATGCTGTATTTAAAGAAAAAAAAAGTAAAATTTAAACAAAATTGTAAATAAAGTTTAGGAATGTGATGTGACGATATTACTGTACCTAATCGATGTTTAGGCGAATAAACATACATGCATGTTGGATATTTCTTATTCAATCTCTTAAATAACGAGTGTTCACGGCAGAGAAGTTTGTTTTTAATTTTTTAATTATCGTTTATTTTATCATTATTTCTCTTGTATAGAGTTGTACCCTATGAATTTAAGTTTAATTATTATTAAAATTTATTAATGATAAACCGATGCCATGTTTTTTAAGTAATTATTTTAGATTTAGTCGATGTGTTTATTAAATATTATATTTTTTATAAAAGTTATTATTTTTTTGTACTCGATATTTAGTCAATATAAGAACTGCTATGTAATTTATAGTTTAGTGTTGTTATGTTAAGCAATATTTTTTTAGTTATTACATTTTATTGAACAAATTTAATTAACCCATTAATTTTATTGAAAAAAATATTATTTTTAACAACGTAAAATGCTTACTGTGTCATTAAATTGAGATAGTGACTATTATTGCCGAAACGGTTAGCTATAATTATTTTAAAAAATAAAAAGGATGATTCATAGGTGCGTTTTTCTTTAACTACCCGCCATTTCTTCAATCTAATATTTTAATTGTTTATTTAGGTATATACT